AACTAAACGAGCGCGGAATTTATAATGTATGAATATTATTCATTGCGCAAGCGCCAAGTCAAGATTAGGTTAATAACACCGCCATTTTCTAGCCGACCAACATGCCGCTGCGTGATTTCCCCCTGCCGCTCAGGCTTCACCTCCCCCGCCTATAAGACCACTTATCACTCTGTCCATATATTCCTAGGTCGATGGTTTGTATAGATTTATTACGAAGAATATGTGGAATAAATTGTTGCAAATTTCACTCTTAAAAAAGGTATGAGAAGTCGATATATCTCGAAGTGTGTTGTTGACGCTTTTCCGCGACGCTGATTGGTTATCTCGATTATTCTGACAGTTCGATAGTTTGAGGGCAACGGTTATTTAAAATTTTTTAAAATTTTATTAAAATATTTAGATTTTATAATTATTAAATTATTATAAGTGCGCGCGCGTATTGTTCTAGTATTTTAGTAAAATAATATTCAACTATAAATCGTCGTGTCCGCACAAATGTCTGTTAATTTGAAAATTATATGCATAATCTGACGTGAGAAACTTAATTCAACGATGTGACAGAGTTAACATTCGGAATTCGGTTTTGATTCACGTCGCGCGTGTTGCATGTAAGAATAATACATTTCAGATCGTCTCATAGCAGCTCTGGATCGGAAAGCAGTGGGAGTAGCAGCGACTCCAGCGAATCGAGCTATTCGTCATCCTCCAGCGAGCTGCGCAGAAGGAAGGGCTCGACGCCGCCGATCACGCGCAAGGACTCCAAAAGCATCGACGCTCTGAAGTTGAGCGGCGCGAAGCAGCAGATCAAACTCACATTGAAGCCTACGAGTAACACTACGGCGGTGAAGAAAATCGACCGTAGCGCACTTATGGCCGGCAAAAAGCGGAGTATCGAATCGCCGCCGATGATTGATAGCAAGGCGCAAGTGGCCGCAGCGGCGGCCAAGGCCGCGAAAAAGGCGAGCTCGCGCCGCGAAGAGTTACTGAAACAATTGAAGGCCGTGGAAGACGCGATTGCGCGTAAACGGTCGAAGGTTTGAAGATCGAGACGAGGCGCGCGTTCCGTTACACGCGGATGAATATGTAATAAGCGTTTTTTTTTTTTTTTTTAGGTATATTATGTAATTAGTTGCCATCACCGTCGCAGAGTAAGTTTATGACAAAAGTATAAGACGCCTACTATAGAGATCGCGATGGCATATAGATAAAACGAATACATGTCCCATTTTTACAATGCAGAATTGAATCGTAACATTTTATTTGTTCACTGGACTTCTCTTTCTTTTTTTCCTTCAGTTAAGCGTATAAACATAATGAATAGTATTGTACATGGTCGCACAGCGATTTTATTTTAGTAATACTTGAGTGATTATTTTTATGTAAAATGTAAAATAAAAGGAATACATCGTAAACACGTAGAAGTGTAAGAATATTTTAATGTATATGTACATTGAACTAATTATCAGTTAATTAAATTCTATTGAATTTGACACATATGTGTGTGTTGTGAAATGTCTCAATGAATTTGACATTATTGAGTAAAACATGTTGGTAAAGTGATATCGATCGACTACAAATTGTATCTGTACAAATGTCTATTCTATTCTATGAGAGATTGACCTCGAATTTTTATCCACCACGTTCAGAAACTGAGCTCACTGAGTGTTAATAAATAATAACCGGTGATGTAAGTATATTCGTCAATGCCGATTTGACTTGCAAAAATTGTCCCCTTTGTTAACACGTATGTTTGCTATTGAATGCTACGTTGTGTGCGATTTTCATTTTCTCTGCACTTTATTATTAGAATGCAAAGACCGAGAGCATTCTTTCTGTGAAATAGAATATACTTCACTTTAATTTTAATGTAAAAGTATGATATTAAGCCATCAGCAAATGGATTGTCAAAGATCTCCAGGTTGCCAAATACAACAATTATTCTGATAATTATTATATGACAATTATTCTGCAGCTGTATTCTATGTATCAATCGTATGGAACATATTTGATAAAAATTGCACTTTCTTATTAGAATTACTATCAAAAGTGTACATCTCTGATATATTCATACTAATTTCTTTCCGTTAAAGCAAACAGGAGTTAAATTTGTTAATGAGAAACAGAGAAATGTGCTATTCTATTCGATCTAATACGGTGATAAATATATTATAACAATATTTATGAATTATCTTGCAATAATTTATTGTCGCGAAAGTAATAGGTTTTTCTTTTCACTTCACTTACTAATTCAGTGAAAAATTTTGTTGTACAATCAAACTAGAACTCTGCATAAAACATGCGTCATGTTGAATGTTTTTTAGATCATGTTTTTTTAGATCTTGATAATGTGAAAGAATAATTTCAAAAATAGCAAGAAACACATTTGTAAATGCAGCGACTTGTATTACGAGAAAGAAAGATTTTAAAAACTTACAAACATTTTGCACTTCTCTTTCACGTATGAATATAACGTAGCGTATATTAATTTCATGCTGTGAGCATTCCATTAATTTAAGGTACATGCTTTATTAACAACAGACTTTATTAAATATAAGTTACAAAATAAGATTGTTACCGAAGACACCAAATCTTTTAATTCTAAACATAATAAATTAATATGTCTCTTAACAATCCATACAGAAGCGCCGAAAAAACAAGCGCACACTTCTGTTTATTATTCTATAATTACAAACTCTGTAAGATAACGTACGTGCAAGTTGTCCCCTTTGAGCTTTGAGCTTGATTCGCATCCCAAATATTTTAACGAACGTTTGCATAATATGAAATTACACTTTGCTCCGAAAAACCGAAATCTACATTTTTCGGAAATTATGATGTCATTTGCATGTCTAGATCTTTGTATTCGTCCAAGGAAAACCGAATATTTGGATACTTCTTTAAGAATATTTTCGTATATATACATACTATATACATGCTTTATATTTATTTTACAGAATCGTTTAAATCCAGATAAATACAAATTCTATGAAACATTTGTAAATATTATTCTCAGATATTAATCCAAATATTCGATCCGGTATAAAAGATAATCCGCAATGCGTTTTTGTGAAATGTTCAAGTATCGCCAAGACGACTGACATCGATTGTAAAACAGATCATGAGGAGTAACGCGCTCTTACACCCTCGAAACAGGCACGTCGACATCCGATTGCCTGTTCGACAGATTCGTCTCTGCGTTTTCTTGCGTCGTTCTGATCGGCATCCCCATGAACTTCGGCTGATTGGTGCCGTTCAACGTGCTGCGCCGCGCTCTGGAATTGGTTCCGATTTCAGGACTCGTCTTCACTTCGTTGTACTTGAAGAGACCGTCGCCGGGCGCCGGCAGGCCAATCTTCGGCAACTTGTACCACCAGTGATACGTGACGTACCACGTGACGACTGCAGCTACGCCGCCAAGGAACTTCTCGATCATGATGTGATAGTAGAGAACCGTCGACACCAGCATAATGTCCCACAGCAGCTGCTGCAACGTCATCGCCACGAAGAGACCGCGCAGGTACGGCGTGAGCGCCCGATGCGCCTTCTTCAAGAACTCCAGATCGCCGTCGGAGAGGCTTCGCAGCGGGCCGGTACTAGTCTCGCTCGGTGTGGACCTTGTGTGCTCTTCACGCATAACTAGATCTTTGATACCCTCCCATCCCACCAGGGAAGAGCCTTCTTCGGCGAGGATCAAGCTGGAATAGATCAGAATGAAGGTGTGTCCCGATATGTCGAGACCGCTCCAGAATCTACCGGACTGCAAACATCTGGTCTTCGACTGCAAGTTGGCGTCGCGGGTGCCCAGGCATCTGCCGTAATTGGTCTCGATATAATTGAACAGCTTTGTCCAAACGAGCCAAGCGACGGTGGCGAGGAAGACCCGCGCCAGGTGTCTCAGTAGGATCGGCCGACGGCCGCAGCCGAGCGTGTGCGCCGTCAGAGCGACCCAGGGCACGACCACGGACAGCAGCCAGCCCCAGCCCCACTTGACGAAGTACTGATTCAGGGCATTGTCAGACCTGGCGAAATAAGTTCGCGGCATTGCAATGAAGTCCGCGATCAGCGAGATGGTGAATATCGTGCCGCAGTAGACGGCGACCTTCAGTCGGGTGTCGAACAGCAGCGACTTCTTGCACACGTGCAGCAGCATGGTGACGAGGATGAGGCCGATCGAGCTCGGCGTCGCGGTCGGTCGGGTGCCGCCGCGGTCCTCCTGCTGCGCGTTGCTCGGTCGAAAGTTCATCCGGCTTGAACGCAGGCCAGGATAGCCGGAGTAGCTGGACGCACCGCCGGCGTTCCCGGACGACGTGTGGATGCTCCGCCGCTTGCCCGTCGCCATACCGAGAGTTTCCGACTTGGAATCCTGATTACCGGTTCGCGTGCTCGCCGATGTCGCTTGAAGGCATCGCACGGGATTCAATCTCGCTCGTCGTCCGCTCGTTAAAGACAACAATACGCTCCGTCATCCACTGGTTGACCCACTCTTCTCCTTACGTATTAGATGTGTAGTGATGTGTAGGTTTGTTCGTTTTACGCACACTTCTTGCACTTTTGCACTTTTTTGGTTATAAAATAGACGTAGTAAGTGTAGATTGCTCATGTCGTTCGAAGAATGTCGAGAATTTAGAAAGAGAACGGAAGTTTTGATCAGTTTTCTTTCTCACATATAAGAAGAGAGGTGGTGATAAAAGAAGGGCCAA